ACTTGGAAAAAGTTCTGTTACTATCACAAAAGAGAAGTCCAAAAACTAATTTTAGAATCTGTCATTAATGTGCTTCAGCTTTTTCACTTTGAAAAAATGGGGGAGAGGGGACAAGGGAACCATGCGGGGGGAATCATTCTAAGTAGTTATTTGATGTATTTCTTCTTAAATTGTCGGGGAAAAGGTAGTGGTCATAAAACTCGAAAATGCCAATTGTATAAGGCTCAACAATGCTAAGTTTTCTGTAATATCTAGTTGTTCCAGAAGTAAAGACCCTTTAACTGGCCAGTTAACCATTTTGCTCTCTATTATTAAAGGTAAAGGAACCATACTTGAAAGGAGAGGGCTGTGTCTCCGATATATGAGGGGCTCAAATAATGACTGTTGCAAACTGAAAGGATGAGTTGGTATTTCAGGTTTCTTGATGCATTATAACAGGTACTCCATAAAGAACCTACTAAATAAATAATTGATTAGGCCTCTCTAAAGGCTCCATAATTTGTCTCTTAAGGATGAGATCTAGGGATTAACAGAAGAAAGGAGTTTCTCATTCAAACACGGTGCTCCCAATATTACTGCAAACAAATTGCATGTAAAACTGCATGGCCTGAGAGGTTTGAGGGGAGAAGGTGAACGAAACCTCAACCCAGCCCTGCAGCCACGCGCTCTGCACATGGCTTAACGTACATAAACCGAACCCCACACAAAGTTGTCTAACTAGCTTCTATCTCCCTCTGCTCATCAAATGCCTCCCCCACAGAGCCCCAAGTTATCTTTGCAAAATGGAACTCACCAATTATTTGACACCTTGTTTAAAATTCTTCAATAAACTCTAAAAACTAACATCCAAATCTTTTAACATGGTATATGAGGCTCACCCTGATCTGACTCTCACTGCCTCTTCAGCTGTTCGTTTGTTTGTTTGTTTGTTTGGCCTTTTGATTGTTTTTTGTTTGTTTTGGGGAGTGATCTTTTCCAATGAGATTCTGGTTCTTGCTGTCTCTTTCCTCAAGAAGCTGGCCTGTGCTTAGAAGGCCTCTCCCTCCCTCTTCTTCACCTTTAAGTCTGTTCTGCCATCTCCTCCTCTAGCAAGCCTAGGACATGTGTTAGGTATCCTCCTTTCTTACTCCTATGAATACTCAGACTACCTTAGCATGGCACTACCAAGTTATTTACTCACTATTCAGCTCCCTTACTAATTCTCTGCACTTACTCCTTTCTATATCCCTATCAGATAAGCACAGTCTAGCACATAGTAGGCACTCAAGATATTTTGAATGAATGCATAAATACTGAATGGTGGTACATGGAGAAAAGTTGCAGCAGCAAAGATAAAAACTAATGGCCTAAACTGGCCCTGAAAAGCTCCTTTCTACTTAGCCCCATAGGTCACACTTAGGAGACCTGTGAATGAAAACAAGGTGCATTCTGGCTCCAAAGGGTCATTGACCTTTAAACTTCTTATATGAGCAGAATAATGCAGAGAACTTAAGAGACTAAAATTTTCCCTGAATTATCCATCAAAAAGCAAGCCCAGCATAGGCCAGCAGAAGTTCTCAACCCACCACCACCACCACCACCACCACCACAACCACCAAGTTCTTAATAGCAAAAGAGGTCAAAGTCATCCCTGGGATTCTACAAGCTAAGAATACCTTTAAGGGGCCAGCCGAGTGGCTCGTTAGTTAAGAGTTGGCTTGGGAGCTCGAGCTCTGAGCAACAGGGCTGCCAGTTTGGATCCCACATGGGCCACTGACGCTGCACCCTCTACAGCTAAGATGGTGAACAACAGCTCGACCTGGCACTGGGCTGCCATGAGTGGCCAGCGACGGCATAGGCTGCAGCCCCTGCTGCAGTGGGTTGCCATAAGCTACCGTGAGTGGCTGGCACCCGGCATGAGTGGCCAGCAGCTGGCGTGAGCTGCCATGAGCCACCGTGAGCGACCGTCCAATGGCCAGTGTGTGACTGCCTCACTCGGGAAGAGCACAATGATCACAATACCAACATGGGCCAGTGAAGTGACGTCCTCCACAACTAGACTGAAGAACAAAAGGACAGTTCCCCTTCCCTGATTCCCCAATGCTGTTTCCTCCCCCAATTCCCCAATAAAGTATTAAAAAAAAAGAATATCTTTAATGTTTAGGGTTTTGTCTTGTAAATGCCTGTAAATTTATCATTCTTTCCATGAAATGAAACAGATCTTTGTAAATTACTTGCCAGTTAAGTGACTTATAGTCATGTGCTGCATGAGGACATTTCAGTCAGTGATGGATGGACCACATATGTAACGGTGGTCCCGTAAGGTTATAATGGAGCTGAAAAATTCCCATTGCCTAGTGATGTCGGAGCTGTAATAATATAATGTTGTAAAGCAATGCATTACTCACGTGTTTGTGCTGAGGCTGGTGTAAACAAACTTATTATGCTGCCAGTCATATAAGTATTGCACATAGGATTATGGACAGTACATAATACTTGATAATAATAATAAATAATTATGTTACTGGTTTATGTATTTACTACACTATAATTTTATTGTTATTTTATAGTGTACTCTTCCTTACAAAAAAAAAAAGCTTGCTGTAAAACAGCATTCAGTGTCACACCAGCAACAGCCTCATACATTTCGTTTTTAATCAACTCTCTTGATTGCATCATTTCTTATGCTTGATTTAATCTCCTGTTGTTTTATAAATTTAGCATAGCCTAAGTATAGTGTTTATGAAGTTTGCAGTAGTATAGTTATGTCCTAGGCCTTCACATTCACTCACCACTCACTGACTGACACCCTGAGCAACTCCCTGTCCTGCAAGCTCTGTTCAATGGTATACCCTATATAGGTGTACCATTTTTTATCTTTTATACCACATTTTTACTGTACCTTTTGTTTTGATATGTTTACATACACCAATACCATTGTGTTACAATTGCCTACAGTATTCAGTACAGTAACATGCTGTACAGTTTTATATCCCTGGAGCAACAGGCTATACCATATAGCCCAGGTGTGTAGTGGGCTATGCCATCTAGGTTTGTGTAAATGCACTCTATGACGTTTGCACAACAAAATCACCTAACGACACATTTTGCAGACTGTATCCCAATAATTAAGGGTCACATGACTGTAATTCCCCATCTCATATATACAAATCTCAATTAGTCTGATATTCCAGAAATATCATCTAGGATAGATATATTTATCCTATAGCTTCCTATTTAACTCCCCATGAGGTGACTCATTAAGAAGTATGGGATCTGTTATGACTCCTCTTCATATACTATATTCCTAAAAACCAAGTGTTGGCCATAATTAATTTTTAAAAATCCTAGAATAAAAATAGGAGGACCTTCAGAAATAAAAAGGGGGGGGAGTATTGTCCTCAATATTAAAGCTACATAAAAGTCACACTTGTATATCTAAAATGATTCTAGAGTTATTTCATACCACTGTCATCCCCATCCCCTTGAGAGCTGCCAATGAATCGTATTATTTCCATAGGCCCTAAAGAAGAAAAAAGTACCTCCAGGTGATTTCTCTCTTGGTATCACTTCAAACAAAAAAAAAGACTCAGGTATATTTGCATATAAGTAAAAAATATTCAAAACAGTGCTGTTTAGAGTAGAAACAAAGAAACCTGGAAATTTAAATGCCCATCGAGAAAGAACTGGTAAGAAATGAAGCATATGTAGACAATGGCGTATCATGCAGAATATCAGTCATCAAATAAAATGAGGTAGACCATTGCTGTGTTCATGAACGTGCAGGGGAGAAAAACTTTTTCCTTCTTCTCTTCTAGGTTCTTTGGCTGGTCTAATAATAAAATTGACATAAGAGATCAACAAGAGGAAAAAAGTTATCTCTAATAGCTTTCTTCCTGGTACAGGCCCCCCATCTAAATTATTTTAGGCAGTGAAGGGAGAGGTAAAAAGTTCTTATTGAGTCTGTTGGGCCTTGATTGCTTTCAGCTCAATATAATCCACGTGCCAAAGTGACCCATTCTGGAACAGTCTATGCTGAACCCCATCACATGCATTCCAAGAGCTCCAGGATATGGGGTTAAAGGAAGAAAGCAAGGCACGAAACAGGAATAATTTGCACTGAATAGAAAAAAGGAGAGGAAAAATATGTATTATATATATATATAAATATATACATATATATGAATAGAATGTCCTGTAAAGATACGCCAATGGCTGTTTACCCCTGGGAAATACAAGGGGTTACTGGAGGAGGGAGATTTACTTTTTATTACATATGAGTCTTGTATTGCTTTAATTTTCCACCATAAACTTTTCCAAACTTATATTGTGTGTATTTATACTCATACACATGCACACTTCTGAAACAAAAGCTATCTAGAGGAAGTACAGGCAAAGCCAAAAGGAAGGGCGAAGCCTGGCCCACTCTTCCCGCCCGACTCACTGCTTCCTGCGCCGTAACCGAACAGCCCAGGCTGGTGTCGACTGGTTTTGGTTCTGTCTGGCTGACATCTCTGTCAGGGCAGCTCTGTGCTTTCTTTCCAGAGGAGGGCCATTGATGACAGGAGATGATTCAGGAAAGAGCCCCTATATCCAAAATGTAGATTCTCTCTCAACATTCTTTAGAATTGTATTCATGAATTGTGCTTTTTAGGCCTGTTTCATAGCTTCTATTTCCTTTTCCCTACAAACTTTAAGAGGTCATCTCTACCTACATTCCCCATGTTCAAATTAATGTGCATGTGCTGCAAAGACTGAGGTCAGAGACAATGTTTGTAAAAAACTTTTCCTCCACAAAGAATACCAAACCACCTTGACAGCAGGCGTTCTTGACAATAAACTCTGAGGAAACAGCCTGTTCACTGCTGGCCCAGCTGGCCAGTTACACAGTGAGTTCTTCTGATGGCAGAATGTTCATCATTAGCCCCACAACAATTTGGGAAGCATTCTCAGTATTCAGAGAACCCCTCAAATGAAATGAGACCAGTGTTCAAGCCAATCCATACCCAGGAGCCAAGAGGAGTAATTAAAGGAGTGAATATTTTATTCTTTAGTGTTTAATAGAATACATAACAAGTCACATAATGATTCATTACTTCACACACTGGGAGGAAAACAGCATCGAGTATTTCTGTTATACAACTGGTTGTGAACAGGAGATGGTTGAAGAAATTCTCATTTAAAGTTTAGACATGCCGGAAAAGACTTCATCAGTGCCTTTTTTTAAATGTAGAGGGAATTTTTTCTTGGCTTTCTGTTTCGTTAGAAAAACCTGATACTTGTATAATTACTTTTTTCCTTTCACCTTCTATTTTGAGAAAATGGCTCAATGATATGTAAGACATTTTCAATAATTTTATAATTACAGATAGCTCTGTGGGACTCTTACATTGTTTAGCAGATAAGAGTTTTTCAATGCCTGGAAAAATTTAAATAACATAATTTACATCTTTAAAATTAACATCCAAGATGGATGTTTTAAACTTTTATCATAAAACGTCACTAATGCTGTTTGCATGGTCATAAATAAATTGTCATCATTTGTATTCAATAGTAATAGCAAAATGTGCCTGCCTATAAAGTCACAAAGACAGTTGTATAATAGTTTTACATTATAATTAATGTTCACATACCTCAAAACACATTTAAAATTAAAAAAATGGCTTGGGGAAAAAAAATCACACAAGGTATAAGGTGACAAGAATTCTTGGTCAACTAGTCCATCTTCCTACCACACAAGATTATACTTTAATGTAGATATTCTGGTTGAATTTCTTCCAAGTTTCAAGGGTCCCAGTAGAAAATCTAAATCTTCAAACATTAATGCTTTTAGATTCTTTTTTTTTACCCAAACTTGTGACAAGAAAACTTAACTGTTTCTGGCTCTAGGGATCCTTTTTTTCAGGTACTACAGCCACTAGAAACACAAGGTATTTTATTTATTTCTCAAGAGAAGATTAGGTCATCTATGAACACTAATTCCATTTTAAAATGAGCTATAGCAAGGGAAAAAGAAAACAAAGTCCAAAGGATTTATGGTAAATTTACAATAAAAATATTCAGCTTACTATTTTAGAAGTTTAAGTCAATTGAGAAAAGCACTTATGATTTATACTGAAAAAGAAATTCTTAAGGAATTCAACCCCTCCAGTCAATACTTTCTAAATGCCTGCAGTGTAACTTAGCATTTTTCATGTGGAATACAAAAATGTTTGAATATTAGATAGAATTTACTATAAGTTAAAAAGTAAGAAATTATCAAAGCTTCACCTTACATGGCTTTAATGTAATAACAACATTCCATAGAAAATTCCAATAAAAATTGGAATATGTTATGAGCATTGCCAGTTGCCCGTTTTGTTGTCTGAGAATTCACAGATTATGCATTTCCTCAGAGAATCAACAGGCCATATATATATATATGGATCTGGTTTGAAAGAGAAGACAATTTCGGCTAGTATTATAAATTATCAGTTTGCTATCAATGCAAAAGGCCAAATAAGAAACAGAAGAATAAAAACAGTACTAAAGGAGAGAAAAATTTTAAAGTCTCACACCTTCAAGGAATATTTTCCACAACATATAATTTGAAAAATTAGAATGAATATGGTTCACATTCTACATGTATTAAAAAATAGACAACTTGTCAAATACTTGGTGCAAAAGCATTGAACATGGTACCTGTTTTTTTAATCACTGTTAACAATTTTTTCAAGTTAAATTTGTTATTAAAATCTAATGTCACTCAGTTGTATTTGTAAATCAAATGATAATCATAGCCATTACATATGTAAATACAAGCTACACTGAGGTTAATGCAGTCATAATTATCTGAATAATTATGCTATTCTCCCAGGTAACTTGAATGGTGCCTTTACAGGGTTTATTCAAATGGACCCTCAATATCCCACCCAAGTTCATGGGTGACAACCAACAAACACTCCAGCCCACTCTGTCGACCACCAAGGGTCCTGTGGCTAAAGCACATAGAAGAGAAGGAACCCAAAAGTGTCCATGCCAAGTTATCTTACCTCAGTTATATGCTCTCCCCAATGTAGAATGAGTTTCCTACCCAGCCTTTACTTTGAACTAAAAATATGTTTTCAGGTATCCACTTCAAACATTAGAGGGGACAGTCATACCCAGAAAATGAGGTTGGTTTTCTGTCTCCAAACATTAGATTTCCAGTCTTTCCGATAATGAAAAGGGTAAGGGCAGCGAGGCAGAGCAGCAAGGATGGGGGCGGGGAGTAAAATGTGTATGCACAAAGCAGTGGAATCGTTCAAGTCTAAGTTTTACAAGATAAAATTTATAACTTAAGTGGCAGAGACAAAACTTCAGCAGTTTCTCATGACTCCTGGAGTGATACAGATTTAGCAGGGAAAATCAGAAACTCAGCATCTTCCCATATGTCAGTTTCTGATCTGTCCCTCCCTCTGAGATGTTCTCAATTACGTGATTTTTGTTGAGCAATCTAACAGAATACCATATGGGCGGAGAAATCTCTGTGACACTCACTTTTGGCCAGTGAGTGACATTCCTAAATCATTTCAGGCTTGAAACAGAGGTAAGTTCTGATGCATTATCTAGTTTGAGAAAACTCAGCACAAAAGCAAACACGACTTCCTGGATTTCTGCTTCCACTTCCCTTACAATAAAGCTAACTTTACTTTTCTAAAAATGCAACCGCAATAATAAAAGACCTCAAATCTTTCTCTTTCCCAACTTAAAAAAAAAGTGGATTAAAAATACAGGTACCTTGATTTAAGTAGACAGTTAATCAACATATTAGTATATAACTAATATCCAAGCAAAAGTATGGAGAAAACTTTTATAATTAGTATTTTTCCTAACCCAATTTTCCCATAGACAAGGATATAGTAAACTCATCAAAACATGTTGCTTTAGTATATACACCACCTAATGAAAGTTAGTGAGGGCAAATATAGGAAATTTTATAGCATTAGTAAATGAATTAAAAAACTAAATGATTCGTGTAAAATGTTTATATATGATATATACAGATTGGATCATGAGTCTAAGAACACAACTGTTCCGATTCTTAACATGTTATGGACATAGTAAGATACAGTACCAGATTCATTTTTAAAAAGAAGGGAAAATGGTGCTGATTTAAACACTGAAAACAGACTCTTACAAAAATCTTTAGAAACATACTCCAAAGATGCTGAAACAAATGAAAAAAAAGAGAAAGGCTTCTCCATCATCACAGAATACTCAAAAAAGCCTCACAGCATGGAAGATAAAGATTCATTTTCCTTCACTTATGGTGTAGATAGGATATGCAGTGGGAATTTATTCCATGTTAGAGAAAAGGTATAAGGCAACCAGGTCTCCTTCTGTTTCTGTTGCATTTACCTAAAACACCATTTTATTGCTCAGCTCACTTTTAAGTACTTGTTTTCATTTTTAAAAATATTCAATTTTTCAGCTATCTACAGATGGGCAGCCCTTCGTGCTTCTACTTCTCTGCAGCCCTGTCAATCAAAACGATTCCACCTTAACTTCAAATAATCTGCATGAAAGAAGTGGCATTTTCTGGTTTTCAGGTTTGCCCAGAAGTCAACATTGACTGGGCTTGGAGAAAATAAGGATTTTTAATGAGAGAGCTTAAGCTTAAGTAATCAAAATCAAACACATTTTGCTCAAGTAAATATATTTTTAACTCAGGGTTTACAATCAACAAGAAAATAAATTTCAAAAACTAAAAAAAAACCCAAAAAACCAAAAATCCTACTGGTAACTCTTTGGTTAGGTTATATGAGTATCAGTAACTTCTAAGTTTAGGACTCAAAACAGTTAGTTCAATAAACTGCCAGTTAAGAGTAGATATTAATAGTCTTTATAAAAATGCTTTGCACGTTTTCATGTACTATTGTTTTTATATGCATGTACTCAAAAGGATGGTACAAACTTCCAACTTTCAAATAATAAATGATTATGTCTGTTCCTCCCTTCCCACCCCTCCTGCCTTCCTTTCCTCCCTCCCCACCCCACCCCCCAAGTCTTAAGAGCTAAGGTCCTACTGCCATTCACTGCAAAAATACTTGGGCTGTCCTAACACCCAGACGTGCATTAATACCCAGCTCCATTTATTCACTGCCTGGTGACTTCCCCGCAGCTTGGTGACCTGGGCTGTCTTGCCCTTGTCAGCCGCTGCGCTCTGTCTCCCTCCTGCCAACGAGGGCTGCCATATCAACCAGTCCCACCAAAGGCTCTGGCAGTGAGCAGAGGAGAAAGGGTGCCTCCTCAGCCTGGAGGGTAACTTTCTACAAGTTTAAGCCACAGGCGAAGGCCTTTATTTCTACATGGAGAAGATATGATCCTTAATTGTGCCAGCACTCGAGTCTTCTCCTACTTCTACCTGTAACTTTTCAAAACTTGACTCATTTATAGTCGATGAACTGCCTCCAGGGGATGCTAATTCCAGGTTCAGAGTCTTCCATTTAGCCTTCTAAAACTTTACCTTTAAAGAGGGCCAAAAGACTATGATATAACTTTTTGAAACACTATTCTCGAATCAGTCATTAAGGGCTTGAGAAGATTTCAAGGAATCCTCTCCACACTGGACAGGGTCCAATCAGGTTCTGAACAATTCGATCATTCCCAGGTACTTGGTGACTTTGTGGCCACACTGCCCCCATTAGATCAGACTGAAGGGCAATCCGGGGGAGGGGTGTCTGAGGCAGGGGCCACAGGAAGCATGGGGTGGAGGGGGGACATCTGGACTCTCTCGGCTAGTGGGGTCCAGAGAAGACGAAGAAGCCAAGAGGATCTGTGGCTCCAGGTCCTGAAGTGGGGGCTACTGGAGGTGGGGCACAGTGGGCTGGGAAGGCAAGGGCTTAGAGGGGAGCTCTATAATCCTCTCCCGGGCAGAGAGGGAGGGACGGGTGAGCTGAGTTGCGAGGGGGTCTGGGGAGCTCACTCCCTGCAGAAGACGTACTCGGTGTAGCTGGTCCAGATCTTGTCCTCGCTCTGGTCGGTGCTGCTGGCGAAGGCGCAGGTGCCCGTGGAGCTGCACGCCACCATGTGGAAGCCCGACTCAGACAGCTTGTCGAAAGCCTGCTCCAGGAAGTTGAACTTGAGGTAATAGCGCGAAGTGTAGCGCTCCGGAGGCCGGTCGGGGTCTCGGCTCTCGTTCAGGGTGTCCCCGAACACCTCCTTGGCCAGCGACGTCTTGCCGCACACGGTGATGCGCGCCACTCGTCGGAACTTGGCGTCTGCCTGCGCGTCCCGCCCAATAGTGTAGGAGCCGCGGTAGCCGATGGTGATGTAGCCCGAGCGCCGGCTGCCGTCCAACGACTGGGACGGCGTGAGCAGCGGGCCCGCGGCGCCCACGGATGGGCTGCGACTAGCCAGTTCCAGCGTGGGCGACGGCACCCCGGCCGAGGCGCCCTCCTGCTGCTCTGGCTCCGTGTAGCCGAGCGACAGCAGCTCGTCGCCCATCGAGCCCTCCTTTTGCACCCCGCGCCGAGGGTGCGGCGGAGGCCCGGGGCCGGGCTGCTGGGGCGCTCCGAGGCGGCGCACGAGCTCGGGCAGCTCGAAGTATTCGGCCTCGCGCTGCAGCCGGCTGCGCTCGGGGAAGTAGTCGGGCAGCACGAGCTGCAAGTCTCGCAGGTAATCCAGGATGTAGCGGAAGAGGAAGCCGTCTCGGTCCAGAAAGAAGCGGCCTTTGCTGTCCCGGGCCAGCTCCTGCGGCTGCTGCTGGGTGAACATGCGCCAGAGCAGCGAGTCGGGCACGGACACCACGGTGCAGCGCCGGGTCACATACACCTGGCCCCCCACATTCAGCTCCACGATATCGGGGAAGAGCTGCGGCTCTGCAGAGGACGACGAGGAGCCGCTGCCGCCCCCGCCACCCCCGTTGGGTAATCCACGGGTGCTGTCCGCTAGAGCCATGGCAAAGAGGCGGCCGGGCTGGGCAGTGGCAGGCAGCGGAGCCGCGCACAGGAGCTGCAGCCGCCTTTTCCGGACGCTCTCTCAGTCCTGTGCCCCGGCCGCCGCCGCCACCGCCGAGAGCCGCGCGGAACCGAGCGGGGCGAGCGCGCCGCCGTGCACCCCGGAGAGCTTCGGTGCGCTCCGCCCGCCTCGCCTGCGCGCTCCAGGCGAGTGCCCGGTCGCTGCCCCCGCGCCGCTTAAGTAGAGCCGCCCGCTCCGGCGCCGCAGCGCGCAGGAGGCGTGGGCGGCTGCGGAGCCACGGAGCCTCACTCCCCGGGCGGGAGGGGGACGGTGGAGCGGGGAAGCGATTTGCATCTTAAACGCTGACGCCGCGCCCCGCCGCTAGCTCCACCCAGGCTCGCGCGCGCCCGGGGCGACCGGACCACCTGCCCGCCCTCACCCCTTCCTGGGCCCGCGCTCCTGCCCCTTCCCACTCCTGCACAACTTTTTTCCTCTTCCAAAGTGGACCGAGTGTGGGACAGGCCACTTCGGAAGAGGAGCCTTCTTTGGAAGGATAGTCATTGCACCCCCTTCCCCTCCCAACTCTGCCGGGCGCCTGGAAAGAGGACGTAAACTTCCCGGCCGGCCCGAGGAGTGGAAGTGGGTGGCCGCCTCCGGCACCGGCGGCCAACGGAACTGGCCGCTTTAAACCCTAGAGCTGTGGCGCTGCCCTAGTCGGTTGACGTGTTGCTGATAGTTCTCGAGATAGACAAAACATCTGGAGGGACGATGGAGCCACCCCACCTCAAAGGCAGGCATATTTTGTTCGCATTGAGGAGTAGCCATGAAAAACCCCTAGAAACAAAAAGCTAACCTGGGTGTCCTGCCGTAGGACGCTCAGATAGTTTACTTCTGGGTGAAGAGGCAAACTTATTGGTTGGGAGACCTCAAAATTGGAGGAAATAGGCTGGAATGGCAGTGGGAGGCTTGGGTGAGATAAAGGGTGAGTCCTGGCGCGTTCCCCTGAGGGCGGCCCACTTGGCCTCCCGCAGCGCCTTACAGGCCAAGCTGCGAAGTGTAATGAGGCCCAAGGGAGCGCTCTGTCTCCGGGTCCCTCTCAGCCCTTGGTGAAGCGTGCCAAAAAACTCTCGAGAGCCTGCAGATCTAACGTAATTTGCAAAAACCACCTTTTAGCCCCTGCGTGTTTATTCTCCCAAAGGCCCAGGTGTCCCTGCTCTCCAGGTGAGCCTCTTATTTCATTCAGTGCTTCCCAGGTGCCTTCTATTGTAGTTTCAGGGCCTTTGTACCTTTAAAGGCCCCTTCCTAGATCGCATCTGGTCCTCTAATTCCTGCCCCCTCCACAGTCGCATTCACCCTGCACATTGTAGCCCAGAGGACTTCTACCCCAGGAAGCCTTCCCGGGCTTCCCAGGTGGGTGGGGTCTCCGGTTTGCACCCTCCCCATGCCCTATCTAAAATTTTGTATTTGTTGAGTGATTATCTGATCTCTGACTTTGATAAATAAAGTGCTCCTGAGTACTGCAGAAAGAGGACAGAAGGGAGGGTAGTGAAGGATGTTACGAAATCGTCAGGTCAATGAATATTTGGTGTGCACCTGCTATGTGCCCCTGCCAGGTAGTAAAGAATGCGAGGTTGAATAAACTCCAAGGCACTTTCAGTGTAACCAGGTACACACAGGGTCAGAAGCCTGAGCAGTTATCAGATCAGATGGAAGTACAGACTGTCAGGCAGGATAAATCAGGCCAGATCTTTGTTCCTGATAATAATATTTATCCTTTTGTGTAACTACCCAACGAGCTTTGTAGTCTCCTCACGGAGAAGTGTCATTTTTACTTTGAAATGTTTATGTCTGCTGAACAATTATCTTATTCATGTCAGTATGCTAAAATAAGATCAAGCTCACTTAATTGCAAGTACAGATTTTAATACTAAATATATTTGACCACTCTTTTTTTGTTTGTTCTTTGGGATAAATAATAGATGACACAAAAGTTCCAAGTTCCAGTGCTGAATTTATAGGTGTGCTACTATTTGTTATATCAGTGGCCCAGGCTTGACAAAAACCAGTCTCTTTTCTATAAATCCAAGAAAGGTCTTCATCATATCATTTCTGTACATATTTTTGTATCATTACTTTGCTCACTGTATCAGCAATTCCTGTCAGTTCTGCCTACAAAATACTTCCAGACTATGAACATGTTCCACCATCTCCCTCCCACCACCCTGGACCAAGCCACCCGTTATCTCTTGCCTGGATTATTGCGCTGGTCTCCTAACTGCTTCCATCTTTGCCCCCTCTAGTCTTTTATCACCAGAACAAAAAGAGGAATCTTATTATAACCTGTCAGATCACGTCATCTCTGCTCAGTGCCCCTCTCCATGGCTTCCCGTCTGACAAAAGAGTGAAAACCGAAGTCTTTTTCATGGTTCACATGAAACTGTACCTGAGCGGAACTGCCCCACTCTACCTCTCAGACCCATCTCCTACCATTCTCCCAGGAGCTTCCTGGTTTTAGCCACATCATCACCCCCTACTGTTTTCTCAGGGCCTTTGCACTTCTTGTTCCCTTTGCTAAAAGACTAATTTCCCCTGGTCCCTTTTAGCTTCCTCAGGGTGTTCAAGTGCCTCCCTTCTCACCTGCTTCAGGTCTCTGCCACAAGCCCCCCCTTGAGCACCGTGTTTAGTATAGCACAGCCCCACCCAAGCAGCTTGCCCCTCGTGGCTTGATTGCTGACTGTCTGTTTCCCTGCATTTGAATGTAAACTTCAAGAGTTTAAAGATTTGAGCCTGTGTGATTCATCACGACAGTAGTCCCCCCCCCACCCCTCCGTGGTTTCACTTTCCATGGTTTCAGTTTGAAAATATTAAGTGGAAAATTCCAGGAATAAAATACCAAAGTTTTAAATTGCGTCCCAATCTGAGTAACGTGATGAAATATCGAAACCTTCCCGCTCCATCTCACCTGGATGTGAATCATCCCTTTGTCCAGCGTATTGCTGTATTCAGTACCCACCTGTTAGTCACTTAGCGGCTATGCCAGTTATCAGATGGACTATTGAGGTATCATGCTGCTTGCTTTCAAGTATCCCTTATTTTACTTAATAATGGCCCCAAAGTGCAAGAGTACTGAAGCTGGCGATTCAGATATGCCCAAGAGAAGCCATAAAGTGTTTCTTTTAAGCGAAAAAGTGAAAATTCTTGACACAATAAGGCATTTTACCATCTCACATCATCACAAGAAGGGTGAGTACAGTACAAGAAGATATTTTGAGTGTGAGAGACAACACATTCACATAACTTATTACAGTATATTGTTATAATAGTTCTATTTTATTAGTTACTGTTCATCTCTTCCTGTGCCTAATTTATAAATTAAACTTTATCATAGGTATGTATATAGAGAAAAAATAGTACATATAGGGTTCAGTACTATCCATGGCTTCAGGCATCCACTGGGGATCGTGGAACGTATCCTCAATGATAAAGGCGGGACAACTGTACATAAGCAGCGCCTAGAACAGAAGTGGCATATAATAGGGATTTGATAAGTATCTGTTGCTCACTTGTTTATTCCACCAATATTTATTAAGTTTCTACTACTATGTTCCAGGCAACGTGTTAAAAAATAATCTCTGCTCTTTTGGAACTTACGTCTTGTGAGGGAGACAGATAATAGATAGATACGTAAATCCACTTTAGGTAGAAAGAAAATGCCGTAAAGCAAATAAAATTGTGAAATGAGATAGAGTGACTGAGTGTGGGGATATTTATATTGACGGGGTGGGAAGGCCTTTCCACAAAAGTGACATTGAGCTGAATAATGAGACGGCCACGGGAATTTCTGGAGGAAGAGCATTCCAGGCAGAGGGCAAAGCTAGTTTAAAGAGTCTGGGTTAGAAACGAGCTTGGTTCATCTCACAGAAGTGTATCCATTGTATCATCTGCTTCTATCCTGTGGCTCTCCAAAGTACCCTTGAAGAGGTCAGTACAAGCTCAGCTGTGAGAGGTACTGCATGCCTACACACAAGCAGCATCCTACCTTCCCTCTTGACCACTTGAGATGATCTATTCACCCACCATAAGCTAGGCCACTGCAGCATGCCATTGGTATTTCCTTATAGAAGTCTAGGCTGTGCATGAGAGGCATAATAATGAATGAAACGGGTGATATGAGACTGAAAGAATAATTTTCTGATTAATTTTGTATGTTCTATTTCTTGCCTACTGATTGGTGTCTGGAATTCAAGAGGAACTGTAATTAGGGAACTTGAATGATGGGACTTAAGCACCTGAGTGTTTATGGAGAAAAGGAGAATCACAAAGCCTTAGCTTCTTCAGGAGGTTAAATATGCTAATTGTCAGAGGGGAGGGGAAGATTTGGGAAACCACCAACTCTGTGTCAAGTCTCAATCCAGTTTCTCGTGATGGACACATTGAATAGTCATTGTTTCTTGTCAAGTTGCTCATAGTTTCCTAAAGAAGAGACAGTGCTTGTCTTTTTATTCTAAAGGCGGTCTTGGAAATATTTCCAAACCTACATTCTCATCACATTGGCATCTCCTCCCCCACCTACTTACTATCTTCCCTTCCAAGCAGCTTCCCACCTCACCCCACCCCCAATGTGCTTAGTAAATGTTCTGCGCACCAAAGATTTGACAAAGGAATGAGGAAGATTAAGAAAAATATAAAGTTAAAAGGTAAAGAAGAACTGGAGTGAAGAGAAGTGAGCACCTCTGAGGACTGAATGAATCTAATATATGTGAAAATGATCTGTAAACTGTAAAACACCATTCAAGTGTCGGAATCATGATTTTCCACCACCTATCATGGTGCCTGCCAAGTCTGCTCAATACTGAATGAATAAGTGAATAGCAAAAACGTTAAAATGAATGGTGTGAGGAAAGGGGAGAAGAGACAGGATCAGAAATTGTCCCAAATAAGTGCTTACTTCATTTCTCATCCTCCCAAAATGCGTGAATCTTTTCTGTATGCAGACTTTAAAAATCACTGACTTTTTGCATTCAGAAGGAGAAAGGAATTGGATACAGAGAGATTAAATAACATTAAGTTTAAGTAAATCAGGAGATTAAGTTTAAGTAAATCAGGAGATTAATGATCTTAATAAAGATTTGGTAAAAGGTGTGCCAACATTTAATCTTTAAAAAAGAGAGAATGTTTTATGAGGGACATTGCCAAAATTTTAGGTCTAGAACATAAAAGAAAATCCCAATATCACTATTATACAACTATGATTTTTATACTAAATAGAACCAGAGAGATAAAGGTTAGTAATGTTGGAAATTTTTTATTTCCATATTCTTATAAATAGTATTTAAAGCTTTTCCAGGAAATGAGCAACAATATAATAGCAAGCATTTATATGGTACTTACTATGTGACAGCCCTGTTATTTAATAAATGTCTTACAAATTTAACCCTCACAATAACTCTGTGAAGTAGGTACTATTATTACCTGATTTTTAGAAGATGGAATGAGTAAATAAGTCATGGAGCTGGGATGTGAACCCAGGCAGTGCTTTTAAACACTGTTTTACAGCCTCTCACTTCTGTAAGTGCTTTAATGTATTAAGAAATATGTTCTATCATCATCTTCCCCAACTTACAGATGAGAAACCCAAGGCAAAGACAGGTTAGGTAACTTGACCACGAGAACACAGCTATTTATCCCTGCTAAGGGGGGAAATGGTATTCTAATATTCACGTGGTTATAAACTGCAGTTTTAGTAACAAGAAACTCAAAGTAGTTACTGTAAAACAACTAGGATTAGGAAGGAGTTAAGTCATTGGCTGTCACCTCTGCCTTCTGTGGTGACAGAAGGCTCAATCCTGCCTCAAGTAAGACTCTCCAAGGACATATTTGAGCCCACAGACAGAATGCACGGATGGACACACTGTTGCAGTGCCACTCCTCACCCAGCTCGGTCCCACACACAGTAAGTATCATTTAGTTTCTAGCTCTAAAATACCATTATGGTTTGCAAAGCTCCAAGTTTTGAGGATGTTTCTTCAGTTTTATTCTGATCTCTTTAATTCCAGACAAGGATAAAGTGAGTCCGTGGAAACTGCTGAGATCTAAGTTACTGTATTCAAAAGCCGGCAGTATCCACTGGTCTTCTGGGGCCTGTAAAACTGAACAAATGTATTTTACTTGTGGCATCACATATCACACTGAGCACAAAAACAACTGGACCTCACACACACACACACACACACACGGGTGATTCTGGAATTTCCGATCAAGGCTAATTATTAACATCGCTGATGTTTCCTAAGAATTTGAAGGCCTTGGTTTCAAATTGTGATAGTAAACATAGAGGTTAACTACAAATGAGTCCTCACATTCTATTCTAGTGCTTCACTGTTTTGAGGGCTTTCACATTGTCAGGTTCACCTGATTATCACAACAATTTCGGGAGGTGTCGTTCAACAGTGTCACAAGTGAAGAAAGAAGCTTAGAAAGGTCAGGTGACTCACGCTGCCTCTCGGGTAGCATCAGAATTTTGTGACAACATGGATGGATCTCGAGGTTGTCATGCTACGCGAAATAAGTCAGATGGAAAAAAATCGAGATTTCACTCATATGGGATATAAAACTGAAAGCAACAAATTAACAAGACAAATAAACAAAAACTCATAGACACAGACAACAGTTTAGTGGTTACCAAAGGGAAAGGGGAGAGGGAGGAAGGGAGGGAGAAAAGGGCAAAGGGGGTTAAAGGGTGACGGACGAGATTTGACTTCGGGGGTGAGCACACAATGCAATATACAGGTGATGTATTAGAGGGTTGCACACTTGAAACCTACATAATTTTATTAATTAATGTCACCCCCAAAAATTTAATTTTTAAAAATGGACAAAAAGAGAATAATACCAGGAAATGAATACCTGCCTGGTGATGTGTTATAGTTTCTAGGT